AAAAATCCTGCTCTGTTCTTCACACACTTAACTAAATTAATAACATTTATGAGAAACATGAATTAACATATTGTACTAGTTTTAAGATTCATTTGGTTAAAAATATTTGTTTACCAATGGCAAGTAAGCCTTTCTCAATATCACCCGAAAACTCATTTTTAATAGCTTCCTCGATGTCGTGGCCAGTTATGTTCTGATACTCATTAAAAATCATATGTAATTGAGGGATATTCCTTTGGACGAGAATCGCGTTAAATGCCGACTCATCGGTACCAAAACGAATTTCTCCTGTAATAAAAAATTAAATATAATAATTAAAATTTATTTTGCTGACTAAAAAAATTTCACATTTTGTTGATCTTAATCCTACCTGCTTGAAGTAGTTTCCTTGCGTCTTCAACAGCACCTACTGGATCAATATCAAATGACTCATCTCTGTTGCCACAGCATAGAGACACCATTAAACGTTTAAAACTTCCAGAAGTATCTGCCATTAACTCATTCTCTAACGAATTTCCGAACACTAAAACATAAATATTAAGTTTACTTTTGACGATTAAAAAAGTTAGAGAAAAAAAAGATCATACTAATATGCAACTCACAAGCTTCATATGCCTGTTTAATTACGTTGATTTGATGATTTGACATAGTACATAATACTTCAATCAAAACAGTCTCATCAGTACCAACTCCACTCATGGCATCGTATAACTCCTTCGCATAATACTGTGGTAAAGGTGTCATCATTGCAACTAACAGATTTTCAAAGTTACCAGATGTTTCAGATTTTAAATCTTCAACCAGATCCTATAAAACATAGTGTATATACATATATATAATACTTTACATACGCCAAAAGAACATCTGGTGTGGTAAAGCATTTACCTTGCCATACAATGTTTTGAATTCAAATGCGATTTGCAAGCGCTGTAAGTTAGTACGATTAGCCAACACTTGAATGATGGATTTCTCATCTGTTCCCCAGCCTTTCATAGCTTTCCGCAAAATCTCCGCATCTTGGGTTGGGTTAAAAGGATCATTAGGAACTACAGTTGGGGAAAGCTATAAAAGAAAATCAAAATGAAGTGTAAAATGCTTGGGTACCACGAAATTGCGTCCCAATAAACACAAAGATGTCTAGAAAAGTAATGGATACTAATCTTAAACTTAAAATTTTTTAAAAGTGGTACAAATAATTATTTAACGATGTATTTAACAAACATAATTTTCACCATTTACCATCATAGATCAAGATGCTATGAATACTTGATTACTCAAATTTTACTATTGCATGCACAATTATAGTCACCATTTCTTACGTTTTCATCATTAGTCTCTTTTGCAATTTGTGGTTACTGGGGAATAACTTGTTTTTTTACAACACGTAAGTCTCACCTTAGTTTGGGACCTCATTCGAGGGGCCTGTGGAATATGTGGTACATGTCCTCCGTAGCTAAAGCTCCCACCACTACCCTGACCCCCCGAATAGGCTCCACCCTGGTGAGGAAAACTGTTACCGTGCATAGGACGGGAGGGATCAGATATTCCTGGGGTACCCAAATTTGGATACAAACCTTGGGCTAAGCCACAATGATTTTGCATGTATTGTTGAGATGAATATGGTTGAT